ATGTAGCTGCCCCCAGGATGCCGTGTCCCCAGGTAGCCCCTACCCCCGCAGGAGCTGAGTGGTGCCCCACAGCAGGAAGCATCACCAGGACCCCAGCTGCCTTTAGGAAGTGCTACTTGCACCCCAGCACCCCTGCACCACTGCTCCCCGTTCCTCTCCATTCCCACTGCAGCCGCTCCATCTTCCTGGAGAGTAGTGGGCGTGTGCCTTCAGTGCTGGAAGACAAGAAAAAAGTTGCAGGGTGGGGGTCCAGCTTCAGAGAGGAATGTGGTACCAGGCACCCCGTCACCCCACACACAGGAGGAGGGATGCAAGAAGTGCTTTTGTCCTCTGTCTGGCAACCAGCCTCAGCCACAACCTATTTCCAAAGGGCACCATACAGAGGCTGGAGATGCAAGGACAGGGCTCACCTTGCTGCTGAGCTGGGAAAGGCTTTGCTGCACTTCTATGCTCACTGCAGCTCCAGACCTGCGGGAAGAGGAACTCCATGAGCTACCTGCAGGGGGATGCAGCCCATGCACCACAGTCTTTATGATTTGACCTCTGACTGGAGATTTGCTTACAACCACTGTCACCATAGTGGTCGCCTCATATGGCACCTTCAGGGTGAAGAAGTATGCTGTGGAAGCCCTCAAAGGCCTTTTCTAGTTGTATGTTGTCATCTGGTCTTTTCCCAAAGAGGTCTCTCTGATGCATTTCTGACCCTTGGTGGTTCTGATAGATCTCTGCTCTGTTACGTTCTTTCCTAGAGAAGAGTAGAGTAGAGTAGAGTAGAGTAGAGTAGAGTAGAGTAGAGTAGAGTAGAGTAGAGTAGAGGAACATGGATAGGATAGGATAGGATAGGATAGGATAGGATAGGATAGGATAGGATAGGATAGGATAGGATAGGATAGGAGGTGGAAGGTTCCTACGAAGACCATGTACTTAACTGCCTGAGAGCTAACAAAAAGATAAAGCACATTTATAAGCGCATTGTCCAAATGTCCCTTGGACACTGACAGTCATGGGACATGAGCTGCCTCACTAGGAAGCCCCTTCCTGTTTTCAACCACCTTCACTAGAAATAAATTTTTCCTGCTATCCATTCTGAACCTCCCTTGTCATACCTCTGTGCTGTTCCTTTGTGTCCTTGCATCTGTGACAAGGAAGAAGTAAATGGCACCTCCCTCTCCATTTCCCTTTGGAAAGTTTTGGAGACAAATAAGGTTACCTCCGTTCATCCCTACCAGCCAGCCAGACCATCTTCAGCTTCTCCTCACACCACATGCCTTCCAGCACTTTTACCAGCTTTGATGCCTTCCTTTGCATCCATGCAAGTATCTTAACATTCCCTCTATATTGTGGAGCACAGAACTGCACACAGTATTTAAGATGAGGTTGCACCAGCACTAAATAAAGCAGAAGAATTGCCAGCCGCAGCTGGCTGTGCTGTGTTTAATGCACCCCATCCACTAAGCCAGAGACCTTCTAATAGGAGATGAGATTACTAAGGCAGGACATTCCCTTCATGAACTCCTGCGGACTATGCCTGATAAAGGCTTTGTTCTTTAAGTATCTTCCAATAGCAGGTAATATCCTTAACTTTTCCAGGGCCTGAGCTTAGACCAGCAGGTCTGTTTTCCGGGCATTCTCTGCTCCCTTATGCTTGATCAGCGTAACACTATCTAGGTTCAAACCAGCAGTGCCCTCCCACGACCTTTGGCAAATAGGTGGAAAGGGTCCAGCTTTAACATCTTCAGCACTCCTTCAGCACTCTAGGATGAATCACATCAGGCCCTATAGACTTATGAACACTGAGCTCGTACAACTGTTTCTTCACAATTTCTGGCCACAGTTGGGAAGTCACTGCTCTGCCGGTCATGGTCTTCAAATTCAGAGGACTCAGCAGCCTGAAACCTGTCACTGATATGAAAAACTGAGACTAAAATGCAAAAGCTAACAAACAAACAAACAAACAAACAGCAAAAAAAAGACAACCAAGAAAAATCCGCCACATTAAATGCCTCAGCCTTTTCCTTATGCTACTACAAATGATGCAGAAGGTGATGTCTCCTCTCCTAAGTCATTACAAAGCATATCAGCATTGCATACCGCAGCTGAAACTGTTTATGATTTTATGATGATCTGTGGTCGTTAGCTGAAGCTGACTAATTCAGACTCTGTAGTTATATGCCTTTTCAGGTAGACTTTCTTTCATCAGCAAATTCAGGGTAGGGACAAAGCACGTATTTATCTGGCAGCAGTAAGCCATGTAAGCATATCCTACATTTTCCACACTATCAGTTGGATATGCAAGCTTTCATTCTGTCAGGTGCCACCGGACAGTGGAATGTCCTTATGTGCATTTGCGCTTTGAGAAAAGTCTGTCTTGGAGGAGACTGCATGTTTGCATGCATGTTTTATTGAATATGCAACCTCTAGAACTTGGAGAATCTAGAGAGCTGAATATGTATTCATGCATATATTAATATGGTGCTTTTACATTGTGAAGTTGTTTTCTCCTAGTAACGTGCAATTTTATTTGAAGACACTCTTATCAACTACGGAAAGAAAAGACAAAACGTTTCTCTGTAAACTTTGTCTAATCACTGAGGAAGGAAGAGGGATTGGCAGTATATGTTGGAATGACGTCACAAGTAATCCTTATCGACTGATTCCCTTCTTATCTGTACAGCACAGATGACAGCTCTGCTCTCCTGAGTTCACAAGCTAGTCAGAAGGCCTCTAGCTTTTTGCTCTGTGACAGAATCCCTGACTCTCCTCTCCTCTCCTCTCCTCTCCTCTCCTCTCCTCTCTTCTCCTCTCCTCTCCTCTCCTCTCCTCTCCTCTCCTCTCCTCTCCTC